ATACCTAATATTTTTTCAACTCATCCCGAATATTCCCCACTATTTTTTAGCTCGTCCTCAGTATTTTCTAGGTCATCCCCAGTATTTTCTAGCTTACCCCTAATATTTTCTAGCTAGCCCATTCCTTATATTTTCTAGCTCTATCCCCAGGCCACCCCTAGGATTCCTCATTTCTAGATCATTGCCAGTAATGTATTGTCTAGCTGATCCCCAAAATTTGCCAGTATTTTCAAGCCCATGCTCAGTATTTTCTGGCTTATCCGAAATATTCCCCAGTATTTTCAAGCTCATCTCTAATATTTTCAAGCTCAAACCTAATATTTTCTAGCTCAACCTTAAAATTTTCTAGCTCATCCCCAATATTTTCTAGCTCATCCCCAATATTTTCTAGCTCATCCCCAATATTTTCTAGCTCATCCCCATTAATTTGGAAAAATCCAATGGTCGGAAGACTTAAAAAAAAAAAAATCTCGTCCCCAACATTTTCAAGCTCATCCCCAATATTTCTCATCTAATCCCCAATATTATCTAGCTCCTCCTCAATATTTTCTAGCATCCTTAAAAACTAACTTATCCCCAATATTCCTCATTTAAAAAAAATTCTCATCAATATTTACTTTTAGTTTTAGCTCACCTCCCAGCATTTTCTAGATCATCCCCACTATTTTCTAGTCACATCCCCAGTATTTTCTAGCTCATCCCCAGTATTTTACAGCTCAACCTTAATATTTTCTAGCTCCTCCATACTATTTTCCAGCTCATCCCCAGTATTTTCTATTTCATCCTCAATAACTTCTAGCTCATCAGCAATATTTCAAGGACTTTTGCATCTCATCCACAACATTTTTTACCTTATTACCAATATTTTTAAATCCTTAATATTTTCAAACTCATCCAAAATATTTTAAAAAATCACATCCCCAATACTTTGTAGCCTATCCCCAATAGTTTCTAACTCATCCCAAATATTCCCAACACTTTTCTATTTCATCCCCAATAATTTTTATCTGATCCACAATATTTTCTAGCTGATTCCCAGTATTTTCTAGCTCACCTCTAATAGTAAAATTTTCTAGGTCATCCATAATAGGCCTACTTTCAAGTTCCTCCTTAGTATTGCTTTGCCCCATCCCCAGTATTTTCTAGCTCATCCATTATATATTTCTTACCTCATCCCCTGTATTTTCTAACTCCATTCAAAGTATTTTCTAGCTTATTCCCACTTTTTTCTAGCTCGACCCTAATAC